TTTATGTTCTTAAAAAAAGGTATTTGCAATGAATAAGTGGTTGGTCTTGCAAAATTCTTCCATGCAATCTCCAGCAATATTTCTGTCACCAAGGCCAAATTTTCCAACTACTGGTGATTCTTCTTTGTTTCCAACTTTTGCATTCCAAGCACCAGTAATAATTAACACATCTTGATTGCATGTTAGGTCAATTTCAGACTGCAGAAGTTGGTAAAAATCTTCAATTTCTTCATCTTTGGCTTTGGTGGTTGGTGCATAAATTTGAATAGTAGTAGTATTAAGTGATCTTCCTTGTAGGTGTATGGATATCCTATCACTGACAGCATTATACTTCAAGATAGATCTTGATACATTCTCTGTGATGATGAATGCCACACCATTCCTCTTCATTTTGTCATTCCCAGCATAGTAGATCATATGATCATCTGATTCAAAATGGCCAAAACCAGTCCAGTGTAGCTCACTAATGTCTAGGATATAAATTTTTATGCATTCCATTTCATTTTTGAGGAGCTCTGGTAGCATAGTGCCTAAAGCATTTGACTGCTAACCAGAAGGCTGGTGGTTTAAACCCACCAGCCACTCCTTGGAAGGAAGGTTGGGCAATCTACTTCCGTGGCGATACTGCCGTGGAAACCCAAGGAGGGGTTGCCATGAGTTGGGGCCAACTCAGTGGCACGTAACAATAGCAACAACAACATTTCATTTTTGATAATTTCCAATTTTCCTAGATTCATACTTTGTACATTCCATGTTCTGATTATTAATGGAAGTTTGCAGCTGTTTCTTCTCATCTTGAGACGTGCCACATCAGCAAATAGGGGTCCTGAAAGCTACACTCTATGCACATCATTAAGGTCAGATTTACTCTGAGGAGGCAGCTCTTCTCCAGTCATATTTTGAGTGCCTTCAGACCTGAGGGGCTCATCTTCCAGCACTATATTGCATAGTGTTTCACTGCTATTCATAGGTTTTCACTGGGCCATTCTTTGAGAAGTGGATGGCCTCCTCCTTCTTCCTAGTCTGTCTTAGTCTAGAGGCGCCCCTGAAACCTGTCCACCATGGGTAACCCTGCTGGCATTTGAAACACCAATGGCGTAGCCTCCAACCTCACAGCAACACTCAAGCCGTCACAGTAGGACAAACTGACAGACAAGTTTGTTTCCCCTAGCTGTTCTATACTGCTCTGCTCATTTCCTGGTCTCCCCGACCCTGCTCGCTTACCCAGCCTGTCCCAGGGGCAAACACCCACCTTTCGCTGATGCCAGGGCTGGCTTACTATGGTCTGTGTCCAGGGGTGGCTCCACGCACACAAGTACCCGCCTTCCGCTGGTCCCAGTGCTAGTTTACCTAGCATATCGTAGACCATCGTAAAATTGTAGCTGTTGATATTATTTTGAATAGAGTCTCTAGGTTGTCACATTTGCATCTGGTGCCGGATCTAGAACTCAGTGGCCAGGGTGCTGGAGGTGGGTGCCTTTCCTTGAGGGGTTGGGACCCATTGCTAATGGGTTGGCTTCTTGAGGTCTATTTATCTTATATACTGCTGGATTTCCTAGCATCCTAGCATAGACTCCATACCTGGGACATAGGTATGCCTAACTTGTCTCTCTTCCTTTTCTCCCAGGCTTCCCGGCCAGTGCCAGTACTTGGGCTTGCCAGTGGCAGATTACTTCAAGCAGTGGATTAATCTGAAAAAGGTACTGTGTCTGAGCCCCACCTGGGTGCTTCTGTGGTTCTCCTGTGCCTCATATCTTTTCTCCCTTGCTTTCTTTTCATCTTTGGTCCCTTTCCTTTTCTTTCTGTTCTTCTCTTATCTCAACATCCTTTCTTCTTCCCTAGCTAATATGCATGGAAGGTGGTGGTTGATTGAGGGAGTGCAAAGCTGCTTGGAGAGCAGGCTTTTGGGTAGAATATGATACTGCCCTAGTTGGTGCCCTCTGGATGTTCAGAGGGCACTTTTTGGGACTCTCACTCAGAGCTGAATTCCTGGGCAGAACTACATTGCCCCTAGGAAAGATGTGGCAGTAGCTGATATTCTAGGAAAGAATCCTCCTTTGATGTGATTGATCATGCATATGGCCTCTGACCCTCCTGGCTGACCCTAGTACTTCCATCTTATTGTGAGGTAGGTTCATTCAAGCTGGCTATGGTTCTACCTAGCCCCAGCAGGGCCTTGCTAATGTAAAGAAGGACCATGGAAAATAGAGCCCAGTCCCCTTTGGGCTATGAAAGAGGATACTGGCACTACTGCAGCACTAAGCACCTGGGGCAAAGGCTATGGGCCAGGAAGGACCCCATGTAGAGCTCTGGCAGAAAATGAATCATCCAGAAAACTCTATATTCCTGGCATGTACTGTACTTTCTAGATAAGCAGGAGAAAGAAGGTGTAGGAATTGACTCTCCAGATGCTTGCTTTGGAAGGATCCCTGCTCCTGGAGACCCAGTGTACTAAGGAAACTTCCTCCCCTAAATCATTCTGATGTAAAGGCAACAGCCCTGGAGCAGCCTCAGGAACCTCATGCCACTGGTCAGGGTAGTGCCTCCCAGGGGGCTTACAGAAGAGGGAGGTCATTGAGGGGTTGTGTGTGTGTGTGTGTGTGTGTGTGTGTGTGCGCCAGGCTAGGTATCCTGAAGATTTGGGATTGAACTGGGCATTCAAAAAAGGCAGGATACAATTATTAATTGGAGAGAAGTCTTTTTAGGTAGGGAGAACAGAGTGGTTTTTTTTTTTTTTTTTGCAGGGGAGTAGGATGGGGTTAAGTGAGCATATGAAGGAACAATGGAAGAAAATGTTTTGTCTTTGTGCCACACTAAGAATGACCTTGGACTTTGTTCTAGACAGCCATTCTTTGAGACAGTACTAGTGAACTCCTTTGCCTTCATCGAGTATACAGGTATACTTCAGAGATATTGCGGGTTTCGTTTCAGATCACTGCAATAAAGTGAGTCACACAAATTTTTTGACCTCCTAGTGCATATAACTTGCGTAAAGATACTGCCTCAGAAACCCAAGGAAGGGTCGCTATGAGTTGGATCTGACTTGATGGCAGTGAGTTTTGTTTGGTTTGAGTGCATATAAAGCTTATGTTTACGCTATACTGTAGTCTTTTAAGTGTGCAATAGCTTTATGGAAAGGTTTGGAATGTTGTGAGAATTACAAAATGTGACACACAGCTATGAAGTGAGCATATGCTGTTGGGAAAGATGGTACTGGTAGACTTCCTTGACGCAGTGCTGCCACAGACCTTCAATTTTTTAAAAATACAGTATCTGCAAAGTGCAATGAAGTGAAGCATAATAAAACAAGATATGTCTGTACATGTCCTCTGGCTTGTTTGTACATTGACCCTTATCTACCGTTTCCACTGATCTCCCTTGCAACCTTGTAAGGAGTAGCTACTTACTACCTCTCATCTTTGGCTGAGAGGTCGGTCTCTACCCTACCTTCCAGCCTTAGTTCTGTGTCCTGCCCTCTGAAATGCCTCCAGGTCATCTTCATCAGGCATGCTTCCTCACCTTTAAGATTCAGCTCAGTTATCAGTTATACTGAGAATTTTAGTAGTCCTTTTCTCGAATTAAGGCCCCTCTGCACTTTGGGTTATCAGTGCTGTTAGTGTTGAAACTGAGTCCATGTAGTTTCCTCCAGACGTATGGGTCAATCTGGAGCCCAGATAGAATCTCGTTCCTCTCAATGACCCCAGTGACCAGACCAGGGCTAGGTACAGAATACGTGCTCAGTGAGTAATTGCTGGCTGGCTGGCTGATCTTTGAGAACTACTCGGAAGGAAGGTTGGGCAATCCTACTTCTGTAGTGATAACTTCCTCAGAAAGCCAAGGAGGGGTCGCTAGGAGTCGGGGCCGACTCGATGGCAAACAACAACAGCTTAGTGGAGGCCCTCTCAGGCTGGGCTAGACATGTGGGTGTGGCTAGTTCTACACTCCTGGAAGACTGGCGTGCCAGCTGTCAGAGTATATCTGCAGCTGCTTACTGGCCTCTGCAAATGCAATGTGAAAGCCCTGCCAGGCGAGGCAGGCGCTGACCATGAACAATTGCTCTGTGAAGTTCACTAGACTTTTTGGTGTATACATAGCTTCCTGCCTCTAGGTTTCTTAGCAGAAAGGCAGCAGCTGACCCATGAGATAAGATTACTACTCTGGGCCACCTTGGTGCTGCTGGGCCCAAAGGGTGGGATTCCGGATGGGAGTGGTCCATTTTGAGACTGTTCAATTTGGCTCCACCAGACTCTGCTGAGCTGTATAGGGAGGGAATGGGTACAAGGGGAAACTGTGAGGACTGTTTCTAGTTGGTCTTATGATTACCTCCTGAGAGATAAAATAAGAAGGTCTGGGAAGAGCAAGGGGTCTAACACCTTCTCCTTGCCCTCCAAGCACATCATGTTTGAGGTATTCTTGAGGCCTCAGACCATCTCATTCTGGACCCAGCAGGAGAGAGGGCTTACTTAACTCTGGATGTTAGCCTATCCTTGACAACAGCCATTCAAGACAGTGAAGCTGGAGGGCCCTGGAAGCCCAGGACAGTGGTGATCTTTCTGACCTTTATGCTGAGTGACTTAGTGCAGATTGCATAACCTCTCTGATTCCTGCTCCCTTAAAAAAGTAATGATAAAAGCAAAGCCAGAGAGGTCTTTTCCAAGTTGTGAGAGTATTAAATCTTACTCCATGCCTTGTTCTCTTGTTTGAGACCCAGCCCTGACTGGGTTCTTCTCTCCTGTCTTCCCTTTTTCCTTCTCTTCTTCCCATCTCCTTAACTCCCCTAGCAGAGTTTGCTACATGAAGAAAATGTGCAGAGTTCTGGTCTGCTTGGCTACCTCAGACCTGCCTAGTCAGTGAACAACTGGGGCTGAACTCACCATCCCATTTCCTAATACATTTCTGGCCTCTGATCTGAGAAGAGGCAAAATGTTATCTTTTGGCTGCTGCCTCTGGGTTGCATCAGGGAAGAGCAGTTTTGCAGTGGTCAGGTTTCCACATCTCTGGACTCCATTTGCTTTCCCTGTAGCAGAGTGGCACAAGACAGTGTTTGCTGACATTTGGAATGTCATTGAATGATCTTATACTTTTATTGAGCTGTCAGCTTAGAGTGGGCTTGGGGCCATGCTCCCAGTTCTCTCCAGGAGGTCAGAGCTATCACTGAGGGGGTCAGAAGGATACATATACTCAGATGTACACATGCATGTATATATGTATATACGTGCATAAATAGGCACATGTGTAGTCATGTGACTGAATACCTCCAAGTGAGCATGCCCCAAACTGTATATACACATCCATAAACACACATGAATGTGTTTATGTATACACATAAAATGTAAAGACACATGCACATGTATAAACATACATATACTCATCAATCAGTAAATACTCTTGAGTGCCTTCTGTGTGCCAGATAACTATGGTAGGCCCTGAGATGTAGCAGAAAAGAAAGATATTGAATAAATACAGTTGACCCTTGAACAACATAGGTATGAACTGCATGATTCCACTTAGAAGTGAATTTTTTTCAAGATATGGATCTTAGGGAAATTTAGGAGCTAGTAGACACCACACGAGAGGAAGATGATTAGATGGAGATGAGCACTTCTGAACCAGTGCCAAGTGATGAGGAAGAAGATGTAGAAGCAGCAGTGCCAGAAAACAAGTTGACATGAGACAATGTGACAGAAGGGTTCCAATTATTTAAGGCTGCTTTAGACTTTTATGACATGGACCCTGTTATAATATAGGCACTGAAACTAAAGCAAACAATGGAAGAAGAATTGGTACAGTATTGAAACATTTTTAGAGAAATGAAAAGCAGAAAAGTCAGACAGAAATTACGATATATTTACATAAAGTTACACCAAATGTGCCTGCCTCTCCTGCCTCCCAACTACCTCTTCCACCTCTTCCACCTCTGCCACCCCTGAGACAGCATGACTAACACCTCCTCCTTAGCCTACTCAATGTGAAGACGATGAGCATGAAGACCTTTATGATGATCCACTTCCAACTAATGAATAGTAAATAATCATCATGTCATACAGTTGAGAAATATATCTGTTGTATGTGTGTGTGAGTGTCTTTGTGTGAAAATCTAGTAACTGTACAGCAAGAACGTGTTATTGGCTGTTCATGTTACCAGTAAGACTTCAGTCCACAGTGGGCTATGAGTAGTTAAGTTTTGGGGGAGTCAGAAGTTATACATGGATTTTTAACTACGCAGGGGTCAGTGCCCCTAACCTCTGCATTGTTCAAGGGTCACCTATAATTGTGGTGAGTCACTAAACAGTGCAGAAAGTCATGTGATCATATAATAAAGGGATCTTACTTTGTGTAGTGGTCAGAAAATGCCTCCCTGAGGAAGGACGTCTAAGTTGAGACTTGAAGGATGAGTAGTAATAGACTAGGTAGAGGGAACAGTGTATGAGGAGCTCTGAGGAAAGGAGAAACTAGACAACTTCATGGAACTAGAATGTAGGTTCCATGAAGACAGTGTTTGTCTCTTTTGTTCACTGATCGGTCCCTACCCTTAGAATATTTCCTGGTACACAGTAGATGTATAATCATTATTTGTTGAATGAATGACTGCCTGAAGCATAGTGAATACGGGAAGGCGAGAGTGGCATGAAACTGCAGAAGTGGGCAAGAGCTTGCCGACCACACTTTGGATCTTGAACTTTATTAACCTTTAGGGTAA